GGTGCTTAGCTGCCAGCTGTCGTTACCATGACAGAATGTAAAATGTAGTAAATGGCGCTGAAGGCAATAGGCATGGAGAGAGATCGGAGGTTGGGAACAGTGAACACGTGTTTGCGAAGATGCGAGTGTGCTGCCTTCCTGAAAGCAGGAGGTTTGAACCATGCTTTTGTAAAGCAAGAGGAATGGGCTTTGTGAAGGTCGTCAGAGGACTGGCCTAACGAGCCGTCACAGGAAGGGCAAATGGTACTTCTCAAAGCAAGGACGGGAGAGGGAGAGGGCCCAAGAGAGGTGAGCTGGCACAGCACAGACGGTGACCATAGGGAGGATTTCAAGAACTGACAAGGGTAAAGGGGACTGTGACTGTAAATACTTGGTGTGACGAGGAGAAACAGGAGGTAGAGAACACAGAAATGATGAAGCTCTGGAACTTTTTCACACTAAGATTACTGTAATTGTATTTTCATGCATAGGAGAAAGGCTGCTGAGTAACCTCTTCTCTTTCTTGAAGTGGTAACCACTAACTAATACACATGCATGCAAACCCACACACACTCACACCCACCAAACATGCAATTGCACAAAATTAGGAAAATTTCCCAACTTTCTTCTGAGATATTCAACGTTTGACAAAGTGAGCTCTGACTCAAACAGTGTTAACTGAAACTGGGTACATGGCAGTCAACCAATGGTATCTGCTCTCCAGCATGTTCATTTTCACTTCTTTCCTTGAGACAATTCGTAAGTTTTGTATGTTCTTAGCAAAAAATAGAGCTACAGATTTTTTAGTGTCCTTTTTTTATGGTATGTTGAACCATGTTGTTCAATTTGGAGTGAAAAAAATGGACTTATGGACTGTTTTCTGTTGTTTACAGCAAGCTCAAGGTTCATACTTAGACATTATATGAATGATGAAACAAAGTTATAAATATTCATTACTTAGTGGAATCATATTTTTTTAAAAGCACATCTTTGTACACAAAGCATTTATAAATCCCCGATAGTGGTATTTATGTTCCGACATCAAAATTCCTCCTTTGCAGCCAACCAAATATCTTAGGCTTAGATCTTCCTCCTACATGTAATGGAATCACAATGGTGTCACAGACATCACAGCCATTTTTATAAAATATGATGTTGAGGAAGACTGAGTTCATTGTACTATACATATGTAAATGCCTCCCTTTCAATAGTCTCAGGGGAGAGAAGATGCCAGAAAGAATTCCCAACCAGCGTACATATTAATTGTCACCATCTTTCATGGGATAGTAAAGTGCATTCATACAAAGAAAAGCATTAAGAATCAAGGAGGCTGCACAGGGAAAGTGAAGGCATTTGAGTGAGACTTAAGGAAGTCACGTGGTAAATTATAATAATCTGACTGCAGTCTAGAAAATCACACTCTTGCCTTGTTTGTGTCTGTAATGAGGTAATGATGCAGCTCCTCTGGCTTCAGCCAGCCACTACAGATTTACAGCAGGCTATGGAAGATCAGACTGCAGCATAAGTTCTTTGTTATCGGTATACCTCTACAATGGTATCTTATTGGTGTAATTCGCAGCAGTGAACATATTGCTCCTCTGTAGCTCAAACTCCTTTCAGTTTCAGAAGCGTAGGGGACTGGTTATCACAGAGCACAACTGATTGATTGTTGATCCTGTATGCTTATGTGTTTGTGTGTGTGAAGACACTCTGAGCTTCTCAAATCTGGCTGTGGAAATCCACAGTATGACTAAATGATTGGACTGAAAGTTTTGCAAATAAATTATCTGGACAGAAACACAGCTCACATGGATGCTTCTGTACAAAGAAACTCCACTGGAAACCACTGTGTGTGCTTGAAGTAGATGACCTGTGTCTTTGTTTGGCATCTGCCCAGATTTGAAACAATTAGAACTATGCAAAAATTTTAATTTCCTGAATCAAAACAGGTAATTCACCAAATTCCCAGCTACATGCTATAATAAAGGGGTGCAAATCAATGTCTGATGACTTCTACATAGCCTGACTTGAAGGAGATTACCGTTCCCAGTTCCACCACCTTTCACTTAGGGACTTGACTTGAGTTCTGTCTGCTGCCAAGGCACGGCTGTTCACAAGAAATGAAATGCTGTTTGCTTGTATAATTTCCCACTGTGCCGTCTTTGGTCATTCTGTGCTGCTTCTCTCCTCTGTTGAGGCTGCTAAATGAGTTGGTATTACCTTAATGAAAGCATTGAAAGTGTGGTTAATGCTGCTAGACTCCATATTTAAAAACATTTTTTTAAAAACATAATCAAAGTGATATCAGTAAAATATTCTCCTGTGGTTCATGGCTCCAATAACCAGTACAATGACTTAATTGGCATTCTTGTGCAGTGCTTGGATCTTTGCCAGTTAATGACCCATTGCTGCAGTCTGCACAGGCAAATTTCCCCTTCTGTCCAGCTCTTCAAGCTGATGGACTTTTGCCCAAGTAAGGGCTGCAGGCTCCTATTCTCAGCTGGCATGGACCCCAGCACGACCATAAACATCCCTGAGAGGATCATAATATGATATATTGGACAGATTCTGATACGCCTCACGGTAATATATCGCCACGCAATTCTGCTGAAGTCAGTGACTTTGGCAGTGGCATAGCTGAAAGAAGAAACTGGTCCCTGCACTGTTGCTTTCTCAGATAATGAAGCACTTGCAGGCTGTTAGCTCGTCTGTGTCCCTTTAGATGATGCAAGTTTTTGTGAACCCTTTGTCAAACATTCAAAATAGTTTTTACTTTTGTTCTGTTTTTAAATGGTTGCATTGTCTCTTCCCCCTACAGGATTTTCCATTCTTCAGGCAATTATGGAAGCAGCAGTACAGAACAACTGGCAAGTGACAGCCAGATCTGTAGGAAGCATAAAGGATGTTCAAGAGTTCAGAAGAATTATAGAGGAGATGGACAGGCGGCAAGAAAAAAGATATTTAATTGACTGTGAAGTAGACAGAATCAACACCATTTTGGAACAGGTATATGCTTTTCAGAAGTTGTGATCTCTCTGTGACAGACATTAATGTTTCCAGAACTGTCTATTTCTAGAAATTAATTAAATAACCATTGAGATGTGAGTCCCAACAACTGGCCAGTTACCTAGTAAAAATTGAAGTGTCTCAGTGATGCTCATAGTTGGTGGTACTACTTACATGTAACCTACCAGGAAATGTCTCTGTGGTTTTTTTTCCCAAATGTTGGTAATGAATTATTTTTAACTAGGTTAAGAACCTAAAACCTCAGCTGCCAGAGTAACATTACTGGCATCAGGGCTACTTGTAGGGATTGCAAGACAGGTGCAGTTTATTAAGTGGAACATGAAACAAGAAGTAAAAAGCCAGTGAAGTAGTCTTGAATCATCTTAAAGAATGCCCAAATGGAAATATTGCTAATGAAAAATTCAGCTGCTGGTCCAAGAGGTTCATTCGCACTTTTTGGTACATAAAGCCCTTCCCTCTGCACAGCCGGTGCTGTTGACAGGCTTAAATTGTGGGTGATAGAGTCTAAACACCTTTATTGGGTAAGGTGCACTTTTAGGTGACTGCTTTGCTATTGCGTGGCCTTCCTAGTGTTTGCTTTGCCCCAGAGGAATGGCCATACCCTCTGGCCATCCCAGGGTGCTGCCAAGAATGCCTGTGCCACTGGCTGTGCTGGTAATGTGCTTGAAGAGGTGTAGTAACAGATACATATCGCAAGGACAGAAGCAGGACAGTTCCCTGCTGCCTGGGCTCACAGCAAAGCTGGTGTTGGTATGGAACCAAATCCATGCTGCTTGTTTACTCATAGGCATGTGGGAATTCACTTACATTAAGACTGAAAAACCCTCTGATTATTGCCGCTTCATAAATTTAATTGTGGGTTTATAGTATGGAATAGATCAAAAGTAACATTTAAATTTCATGAAGCGTTAGCGTATCTCTTAGAAATGTTGTATTGTAAACTAGTAGCAAAGTGACCTTACTGCCATAAACCCTGGGAAATGCAAAAGCCATATTCACTGAGTTCCTTCTCAAAATACTCAGTTCCCGTCAAGTCTTGAGGTGTATCACTGAGGGCCGGTCCGTGGGTCTGAATCATAGTCACGGCCAGGTCCCATCGCTGCTGGTTACAGAGGGCAACAGGAAGAAAAGAGGTGCTCAAGAGAACGTAGCACAAGCTGATGCTGGTCTGTAACTCTGACAGCTACAGAGTGGTTGTGATACTAATACATAGCATTGCATTTTACACTGTATTTTTAGTCAATATGGTGAATGCTCTCTTTAGGGAAATTCATACAGCAAAGTGTAAGAAACATCTCTTTTTTTTTTTTTCCTTTCATTTGCTCATGTTCTTGCAAAAGATGCAAAACACCATACCCACAGCCCACTCTTCTGAAAACAATGCAGAAGAGCACTCCTGAGCGAAGCTTAAATAGCTCTTTGGGCCCACTCTCAGCTGGGGAACAGGCCTTTTGTTTGATCTTTCTAACTCCATTTACATTTTGTTCTCTCTTTTCCTTATATTGTGCAAGTGAGAGAAAAAAATAATCAAGCCATTCCAGTGCCTAAAATGAAAGCTATATACCAAGCAAACTATATAGCAAAAAACTGGCGAACTCTTTCCTTCTGCAAGCATCCTAATTCAAACCTAGTGAAGTTGTAATTTTATTAAATGTTTGACTCAGCTTTCTATCAATGTGATTAGCATCTGTGTAACTAAAGATTTGCTATTGGGGCCTCCAGGTTTTCCCAAACTGTACAGTACACTGTACAGTACTCACACTTTTGCATAATTAGGCATTTCTGTTGTCATTATTGTATTGTATATAGCCATCTCTGTACTGTTAAATGACTTTTTTTCTGTACTATGCCCGCTGTCCATCTTTTGGACTTTATTTACAGAAAATTGTGACATTTCCATGAAATCTTTATCCTAAATTATCTCAAATATTTCTAAAAGATCTTAAAATTTACTTGCAGTTGGATTTTAGGACTGTATCAACCAGTTTTAGCCAATCAGTTGAACACTATCAGTCCATTGTTTTGCAACCAAATCCTACAGACATTTTCACACATAAATACTATGTCATATATGTTGCCCTATTGATGTAATATGACTATTTCTACTTCATTTCATTGAAGATACTCATAAGCAAAATTGTTTGAATGTGCAGTATCAAAAATGAATTTAGAATGTTTTGTTTAGGAAACCAAGCTAGATAGTAAAGCAAACTAAACATACCTTCTGAGATAAATACTCTAGTACTAATCGTGTCTTTTTAGCAGTCTAACAAGAGGATTCTAGTTATGCAGCACTTTTTTATGAGTATTGTCCCATTTATTTTACTGGGACCATTCACTTGACAAAGAATTGCCCAAGCAGATCCCAGGTTGGTGCCTCTGATGCTAAAAATATATTCTGGCAACAATTTCCAGAGTTTTTTTTTTAATCTGATGCGGAAAAGCAATGACTTAAGTTTCTGCAGCGAGAATCAGTAATGGTGGACCCCAGGTTGACAGCTGAACAATTATTGGTTTTAGGCTTTTCCTTCCATCTCCTCTGCTTACCTTGTTATCTTCTCATAAAGTACTTTAAAAAATCTCACAAATATGTGTGGTACTTAAATCCATCCAGCCAGTTTGCTCAAGGGAGTGGTGAGTTGTCTTCTTTTTAGCCAGCTGTGTTTGCTGATAGCATACCGTTGAGGGGAAAGATAACTCTGGATTTGCGTATTTCAAATCTAGCGTTTTATTGCAGTTTAGAAAGTCAAATCGGTGCTTTGTGTGGAGTCTAGAAAGTCTGCTCAGCTAAGAGGCAGTAACATCTGAGCATGTTATCAGCATGCTGACTGCACAACTGCAGGTGGCTTTGAAGAGCTTTTTCCCAGTGAGAGCAAAGGGAAGCCAAGACTCTACCTGTTATGGCAGAGTACTGTTGGACAAACTCTGTCCCGCAGAGGGTTGGCATAGGCTTCCTCAGCCCAGCTGCCTTTCCATCCCTCTCCCTTTTTTGGCCTCCTCAGGAGCACATCTTCAAAGGTCAACCCTTCCATCACCTTCTGGGAGTGATGCCTCCCTCCAGAGAGGGGCTTTACTGTGGTCACTGGGGGGATGCGTGGCACCTGCCATTTCATTTTCTCAGGGACAACAGCAGCATTTGCCAGTGACCCTGGATTTCAGAAGCGTAAATAGGACTTATTCAAGAACAAAAGTCATACCAGAAATAAACAGACTGTAAACCACTAAACAGTCTACACACGTGCTGAGTTTGTTATCAGACTTTGGGCTCTTGGCCAGGCCATTCGGCAAACTTGTCAGTTCTCTGCTCCAGAAACCGCGTATCACGGCTTTGTGTTAGTGCTTGGATTAAATAGGAGTGACCTCTTCTCCTGTATCAGGCTGGTCAGTGTGTGCAGTTCTTTTCCTTTGATGCTTTTTTCAACCAGTTCAAACCAGGGTATACCTCTCTTCCAAAAGTGTAGGCTTATCTAAAGACAATTGTGCATCTGAGGATTTTCTTCAGGACTTAAGGTACTGCTGAAATATTCTGTACCTTCCTCCAGCCACATACAGACCTGTAAGTCAGTGACCTTGAGTATTCCATATGCCTTTAACATCTGGCACATCTGTATGTCCCTATGTTTCCAAGTTCTGAAACCTGTCATACGAAGTATTTCTTTTCTCAGCGCTGGCTGGTACCCAGGAAAGGATCTCTCCCAGCTGTCTCCCCCTGGTATGTAAATGTAAGGTAGGGGAAAGAGGACACCTCAGCTCCTGCTCTGCCTGGGTAACCTGTTTTGTGCCAGGTTTCACTCTGCAGCGCATCTGGTTTCATTCTCCTTCCACAGAATCTTGTGATGGGCCCCATATTGTGTCCTAGAGGTGGATACCCTAACCAAATCACCTCTGGCCCTGTCTCTTCAGCTGCAGAGTAAGGGGAAGCAGAGAGATTAATAGTCATTCTGTAAGTTACCATCTGTTTGTTCACTTGCCCTATAGTTCTATAACCATTGAGCATGTGGATCCTTATCCCTCCTTGCACAACAAAACTATATCCAATTTAATCATCTAGTGGCCTCTCAAGCATACAGATAGCAACACTTATGTCATGCAAAATTCATAAGCTCCCCACACTTCTTGTCACTTGATGCTAAAATATTCCAGTATTCCTTCACAGATAGATATAAGATTTTGGTCTCATAAACAGAAGAACATTTTCTTCTGAGAACTAACAGTAAGCTTTAGCCTGTTCAACCGTGTATTTAGAGACATGTTTTTGAGTTAAGAAATACGTTTTTCTTATTCCCAAGATAACAAGCTGTATTTCAGACTAGAGTGGCTTTATGTCCATTTAGAAGAAAATCTCCTGAGGGAAAATAAGGAGGAAGAAACTCCATTCAGGATCAAAATGGTGAAACTTTACAAAAGACCTGTTTATTCCAGAGACTGCATGCTTTTATCAAATCTCCAAACATAGTCATAAAGGTTAGGCTCCAAGGCAATGTCTGTATTGAGTGGAGGCATTTCACAAAGCAGAAACAATATTACAGTAGAGAATGCAGTCCCCAAAATTTTACAATGACAGTCAAATTGTCAAAGACGACTGGAAGTAAAGTGTCCGTAGGATTAAGAAGGGTAATCTGATTGACTGAACTGTCCAGTGCAAGCACTGACTATGTCTTGACCTTTGAGTCTGAAATTTTGAGATTAGGGAGATGGTCTGCAGGTTTTCCGTACTGCCACAGCTGCATCCCTCTGCAGAGCTGTTCAGATCTCAGAGGAGTGTGCTCACTGCACAACAGCTTTCACATTTGGGGTGTCATAAGAATAAATACAAAACTGCAGTATTCAGTTGACCAATAGTCATTAAAACCAACGACAATAAGGAAAAACGTAAGGGAAAAATCAGCACCGCTTTCATGTAAGCTTCCTGGTTTATGTGTTACGTTATAAACAGATAGTCTGGTGTTTCATGTAAGCTTCCTGGTTTATGTGTTATG